AAGGAAGGCATTCTTGTCAGAATGACCTAAGACAGGCTCTGTCTTGTTAACGAAATAAAAAAGGTGGGGGCGGGGGAGAAGTGAAGAGCCTTTGGGGCTGCTTGGCAAGAATCTGACATGGGACAAGGACAAGGAAATGGGCTTCAGGCAGGAATCTGACATTAGGCTAGAACAAAGAAGTAATTTCAGGTAGCAATCTAAATCTTAGGCTACAACAAAGAAGCAATCTCAAGCAGGAATCTAAATTTTAGGCTAGAACAAAGAAGAAATTTTAGACAGGAATCTAAATTTTAGGCTAGAACAAGGAAGTAGGCTTCAGACATGAAAATGACCTTGAGCTAGGACAGGGAAGTAGGCTCAGTTACTTTGGTCATCCTGATAAGACTTTAGAAACAGTGATCACGGGATCGTTCACGTAACTGGTTTTAATGCCTTGCTTTTTCTTTGACTATTTGTGTTTATTGTCTTGTTTGTTCCTTGACTATTTGCATCTATTCTATTGCTAGACCATCAACCTAGAACTGACCTTAATGCATGCATGTAATCAAAATGGTATAAAAGCATAAAAGAAGAGGGGGTGTAGGATAGGGGGTTCTAGTGAGGGGAAATGGGGAAAGGGGATGTCATCTGTATTGTAAATAAATAAAATAGCCAATAAAAATAAAGAATATAATGTGCCTACTCCTCATAGAATAGTAAGTAAAGGCTGCATAATAAGAGATACAATGAGCTTTCATAAATTGTACTAAGAAGAGAAATAGGCTTGGGACAGATTTGTGATCAAGGCAAAATATTCATTCAGGGTCAGGTCCAACGATGAGTCCACAGGTGTGCACTGTGATAAAGCAAGTCCATGTGAAACTGTTGCTTTGAACTTATAATGAGCTTACAGAATGGAACACTGCTTTGAACTTACTATCAGCATCCTTCTGTAACTCCCCTTTTATGTAACATTTTATCTATGAGGTAATTTTATCAAAAGCTTTTGTCTTAGAAGGTATAAAAAGGCCAAAAGAAAAATTAAAGTGTGGCTGTTGGGGCTTTGCTTCATCCACCAAATGTATATATGTGTATGTCTGTTTACATGTATGTACATACATACATGTGTGTATGTTTATAAATATGCATGTACATTTGTGAAATTGATGAAACTGGTGGTCAGGGCCTAACCAGAGAGAGAGAGAGAGAGAGAGAGAGAGAGAGAGAGAGAGAGAGAGAGAGAGAGAGAGAGAGA